TTTCTTCTCACTGTAAGCTTGACTGAGTGGTGTTGGAACACCTTCTGTGTGCCTGGATTGTATTTTATTTTTGTGGACCGTTGTAATTGCTCAGGGTTGTCGGCTTTAGAATCACTACAAAAACCTGTAAAACCAGGTTACCAGAAGAAACAGTGGGGGATATGTGACACCACAGGCAACAATGCCTCCTTCATGTCATTTTTAACTCTCTGAAAAAGCCATTGTTCTATTTCCATAATGGGAATTAGAAGACACTCCGGTGGTTGGCCAACTGACATAGTTACTTCAACCTGCCAGCATCTCCTTTTTATCAGACGTAACTAGAGGAACGTGCAGACACAATCATGCAGAAGGAACCATTCAGGCCATCATGCCTCATATGAGCTGACCTGTATTTTATGTTATCTCTGATACACCTTTGTACCAGCATGCCGAAGGAGTAACGTATCACACCAGGGAGCTTCAAACAAACTGCTCAGTGGCCCTCACATGGTGTCTCATGAAGGAGCTGGGAAGAAAGACCCAGCACCCCGCACCGCATGAAGGATGCTAAGTAAGATCATTGCCAGTTGGTTGCAGGGGCCTCTCCTGCATCACTCCTTGGCACATACTCGGAAAATGTGCTAGGTGCATATGAGGTAAGATGGACTGTTGAGCAAGCTGAAAAATGAAGTGGCCAAGCTCCAGCTTTTCACATATCAAGAGCCACATATAATTTGGCCCCAGGGAGATTGTTTTACGTAAATTCCTTCCATGAGACCTTATGTAGTAACATACTGCTGCCTTGTCTGAATTGTTGTATTTGAGCAACCCACTTCCAACCGTGTTCTCCATGCAAAGACATAACACAAGAACATAAGAGAACTTTCTCCTAAACCCCGGGGAAAGTGTTGGAGGACACGCTCTCAGATTATGTAAGAGGGCTTATATATCCTAAACAAACCAAAGCTGCACACACACTGCCTTTGTGCAAATTAAAGGTGGCATTCTGAAATCGTCGCAATGGACAGAGATCCTACAAAGCTGACTTGCCCCTTTTTGATGTCACCAGGAATAGCACTACAGACTGTAGGAAAAGTTACCTTGTGATCTTTTGTGTTTCAGGCCACAGGCTAAGTTTGCCGCCGCCACCACCACCTTACATTACATGCATAGCAAATCCTTATATAATGCTAGTGGAGAAATTGCAAACTATGGCTGGTAGGTTTCTGGCTCATAGCAAATTCTTACACAACAACAGTGTACATCTTATATGTTTTTAAAAACATTTAAACCAGTGCAATGAGGATGCTAGTGCAATGAGAAAACTATGGATAAATGCTCGCATTTGTTGCAGTGGGTTTTTACTTATGATAGCACTCCTAACCTTCAAACTCTGGAGTAAAATGTCCAACCTTATCCTTATTATAACTGAAGCACTCATTTTTACATGGTGGAATGTCCTGTATATTTGTTTCAGAGCTGCACAGCATCAGGAAAACAAAAAGACAGAAATACATCATATTTCTGGAAGAAATTGAATGGAGTGATATTCCGAAGCTGAAGGAGATCATATTACTAAGCCCTTTTCCTCCGCCTTCCTTCTTTAAGGGTGGCATTCTGCATGACAGAAGCCCAGATTGTAGAATCACACAGTTGGAAGGGCCTAGAAGGCCATCAGGTCCAACCCCCTGCTCAATGCACGACTCAAGTCTCCCATCCAGATTCTAACCAAGGCTGATCCTCCTTAGATGAAGGAGTACTCCTAGGTCAGAGCTCCCCAAGTATCTGCCGTTATGGCTGGCGGGGCAGGAGAAATAACAGAGGCTCTGCTTTTTTGAATTGCATCCAGATAAGTTTTCTTGCCCAGTTAATCCTCTCCTTTGAACAACATGAAACAGCATCATCAAAAGTGTCCATCCATACTTGTCCCATTCTTTGACTGGCATTCCTGTGCAGAAGGCCATGTGTTCCACTTCACAGGGGACAGTAATCTTCTGGAAGGTTTGTTGGGTTTCAGGACAATGGACTCCGCAAACATAAGTTTATAGTCTTATCAACTATGAGATACATTGTACTTCTATTTAAATTAGAACCATTATTTCTAAATGTGTGTTTATGCACACAATGTGAAATACATGCAACTGTGCATACGCACACACACAAGAGAAAAAATAATTATTTGCTTCAGCGTATGCGAATGTTAGACAAATCTGCGCCTACTTCCAACAATGCATTCTCTCTTCTTCAGCAAAGGGTAAGTGACTGACAGGTGGCAACTCTAGTTATGGGATAAACTCTAGCTCCCATTACTTGAAGGGCCTGTAGACTATTGTTGCTGTTTTCCTAAGACTGCGAAGAAGATGCAGTAGCACTGTGCATGAACAGGCAGAGGGAGAGTTACTACTGAGCAGGTGTTCACTGGCACCGCCGCATCACTGCCTCTGACTTAGCAAAGGGAGAGCCTGCTCTTTTTGTCCTCCTTGCTCTCCCCCCGCTCTCTTTTCCATTTGGCTGCCTTCCTGCTGTGAGTCTCTGCACGGTGCCACAGCTGCCGAAAGTGCTGAAACCACGGAGGCTGGAGACCACGGCAGCAAAGGGGGAGGGCAGGCAAGCGCCCATCCCAGCCAAAGGAAAACGGGCTGCAACAGCTCTGTTTTGCCCCTCCCTATCCACTCCCTCTTGCCTCTTCTTCTCAACGGGAAAAGTTATGCAGTGTCCTGTGGGCAGTGCCTGGAAGGAAGGCACTTTGCCAGCTCTCTCCAGCTAGAGGAGGTAGCAAGAAAGTGGGAGGAGGGAAGGCTGAGCAGCTTTCTCCAGCATTCCCACAAGGACATGGTCCTCAAAGGTCACTGATTCGAACTGCCCGGTGCTGCAAGAAATTCACTAGAACAGCAGACTCAATAGACTGTTATCCAGCTTCTGCATAAAAATCTGCAGCAGGCAGTCCTCCAGTTCAGTTCAGCTGTATGTTTCTCTGCCCCCGCGGAGTGGTCAGGATGGCTTGCCGTGTTATGAGTACACGCTTAGCCCTTTTCTTCCATTACATCTATTTCTAGCTGTGAGGATGACTTGTTAATGAGACTGCAATATATCAAGCCAGGCTTCTCATTGAATGTTTCAATGCAAGCACTTTCATAATTTGTGGTTTTGAGTGGACCTCAAATCCCTAAAGATGCTGCTAAATCTCAACATCAGATTAAGAGTTACACCCATTCCAAAACAGATTTCCCCTATCTTAGTTCTTGACAGAATATCAGCTAGCATTACTTTGATTATCAAATTTGGTTGCCACAACCAGCAAGCAGCTGGACCAGAAACAGTTCAGATATGCTGGCTTTGGATGCCTTCCCTGTCACAGGTGACTGAGAAGAAGCTTATTCTCTGCCTTACAGAGGATTCCACATCATAAACTTGATCTAAACGCCTAGCTGTTTGCCATAGCACATCGGACTGCTTTTTGGAGACAAGCCTGGTTCACATAAGGGATATGAATAATTTTATAACATACTTTTAAAACGTTTTTATCACTCAAAGAAACAACATCTATACAGACACCTCCAGAAAATGGCAGATTATTATTTCTAAAACATTGGCTGGGATAACAGGTTGGGCGAATAAAAATAGAATTTGCAAGAGAATGAGCTTGAAATATAATAAAGCAAAACAAATTCAGGCGGTAAACTAACTGAAGTCTGCTATGGCATGAGCAACTGAAATTTTGCAAATTTTGCAACCATGATTAACATATGCAAATCTGTATAATGATGGCCAACAAAAGTTTTCATTTTCTAGCTGCATTCTGGCTCTTTTTTATCTACTCACCAATGTTTCACAAATCTCCTTCACTACCACATGAATACTGGTATTTACTATGCTGTAATGTATTTGATCATTATCTTCACACTGGCATCTTTGTATAAGATAACAAGGACATGCAGGGTGCATCAAGCATGTTAGGGCCATTAGCAAGAAAGAAGAGGGATTGAAGTTTCCTTGCTCCCCTCGCAAAAATAAAAATAAGTAAGAGGGGGTCAGAGTATTAGAGTATTACATTTCAGATAGGCATATGCCCCAAAGAAGCTATCTAGAAAAAATAAAATACTAAGACATTTTTGATATAGGATAATATATCCTGCATGGAAAACCAAGAGAAAAATATTGCTCACTGAAGGAAACAGATGTTGCATATAATCGGGAGCAAAGCAAATCCAAGATGGGATGGGGGACAAGCAGCATGAACAGATACATGAAATAAGATTTCAAGCTGACTTTAAGTATGAATATGTATTAACTTGTAATTGTAAAATCAACTAGTAAGACAGGAATGGAAGTACAATGCTCAGTCTCAATACAGTGGGCAATACACTATACAAGTAATTGCTTTAGTATACACACATGCACACACAGATGGGGAGTAGGATTAATACAAATATAAGGCAAACAGAAATACGTCCAAAATGGAACTTTTGAACTCTCAGACACTCCTCATAATTCTGTGAAAGTCTAGGAAAGACTAAAAGAGTGTAAATGGAGCCATGGTTACTGTTAGGGGTCAGAAATAGGATGTGATTGAGACTCCATTCTAGAACCTTTGCAGTTAACTTCTCCATAATAATAGAAACAAGAGGAGAATATATGTATTCAGAGAAAAATAGCACAAAGGGCTAAATCAACATGGGTTTGAACTATATCTGCTGAATCAATTCATAATTTTGACATTGCAACATACAAAATTATATATATGCGTGTGTTTGTGTGTGTGCATGTGTGTGTACACACACAGTCACACACATACGTGTGTGTGTGTGTGTGTGTCTGTGTGTATAAAATTACTTTTCTACTAAAAGAATTCAAAGTGACTTACAATAAAATGGATGATGACAATGCAGTGGATATTTTTTTCTGGGTTTTAGTAAAGCATTTCATACAATACTATACAATATCTTATGGTTAGAAGCCAACATAAGATGTCTTGGACAGTTAGTACAATCAAATGGATCAAAAACTGGCTATCTAACCGTATTAAGAGAGTAATCGTAACTGGCAGTCCATCTAGTTGGGGAGAGATTTCCAGTGGGATCCAGGGATCGCAATTCGGTCCCATTTTGTTTTATATCTTTATAAAAGATCTGGAAGACAAAGTAGAAAATATGCTAAATAAGTATTTTAGCTTCTACTAATTAGGGAATGTTGAGCAGAGCTAGTTCTAAAATAGTAGTTATAAAATAACTCTAAATGCCTCTGAAATTGGATGATAGGTTTTACAGACCGTTATTTCTAAATTAACAGAGAGACAGAAGAGAATAACAGCACACAGGATGCTCAACGGAAGAAAACAGGAGGGGGTCTGATACTCATGTCTGTGTCTTCCTGAATAATGAATCTTTTAAAAAGCTAAAGGCATTGTCACATGGAAAGGCAGAAGAGAAAACACATCCCACATGAAGGCAGACTGCATGATTTAAGTGTACAGAGAACTTGGGGGATATAAAGCCTACAAGAAACAGCATGACACTCAACTGCAGGAGATTCAAAGCCAAAGCTGGAGGAGCAGTTCCATCAAAGTCAAGGTAGAGAAGCCCACTGAAACAGAGGTATCGTAGTAGTCCTGACACTAACTTTTCCATCAAATGTGCCATGTCAGCACTGAATCACTGTACAGTTAGAACACAACAGAAGGGGGATTCATGAACAATCCATGGAGAAGGACTTTTCCACCTGAAGAATCTTGGATCAAAAACTTACGTGCCAAGTATAATTGCACTTAACTGATCAATGAATGTGTATTTTTCGGTAGAAGGCTGTGGAATTACCATAGGCTATAAGAATGGTATTAGGTGAAGAATCTGGGCACAGAGTCAAATAAATACAAAGCGCACATACACATAGCATGATTACCCATAAAACGGGAGATACTCCTTAAGAATAGAACGTGAATGTGAAACTGATCCCAAATTTATTCACTTGATCCATGGGCAAATCTTGGAGCCCTCCATCCTGGAATACCAAGAATCTAGCAACAGCAGCTGGCTCAGCATCAAGCATTCAGGTCAAAACCAAAAGCAGAATGGGGTTAGCGCTGAGCAAGTTATGGTGGAGCACAGTCTGCTATCAGGACAGGAGCCCTGGGATAAAGTCCAGTAGATTCTGCTTCTATGCTTGGGTATCATCATAGGTAGCCTGCTTAGTAACTCAAAGAGATCACAAAGAAATGAAAATAGCTTGCAAAAAAACTGTATTCAGAACGCTGGGCCTTGATTTAGATGAGGGTGTCTGAGATGGTATTAGGACAAAACTGTAACTCGAGATTCATACTTAAGAGCTTGGCAACACTGGTTAGGGTTGCACTGTTCTGCCACTCCTTCCTCCCTGCTTCTGTTTGGGTTCTTTCTTCTTACCCTTTCATCTCTGCATGCTGACCATAGTCATTTTAAATCAGAATCTGAAACCATAGTTAGAAGTTTCAAACTGGGGTTAACATATGAATGGATGAAAACACAGTTTTAGTCATAGTTTGTACTTTTACTTTAAAGGAAGTGGTGATAGAATTCAAGGAGAGGGGGAAAAGTAGATTAGGAAAAGGTTCATCTATGTTGCACCATCATCTTTTATAGGCAGAGGGTTTTGAAAAGGTGAAGGATAGTTTTCTGGGTTTTTTTAGGACTAGTCATAGGGTTTCTAAGAAGAGTAGAACTTGGAACACCTTTGGAACTTGGAACATCTTTGAAACTTGATAAACACTGAGATCTTAAGTTTTTAAAAATATAGCATTACAGAGCTAGGACAAACTGAAGTAAGCAGGACTGTGCACTTACTTCAGCAAGTAAGTGAATTTCAATCTTCAACGGAAGATTTGCTTGTTAAGGTTTTAACAATAATACAAATTCCAAGGGTGACATTTAACATGTATGGCCCAGGATAATGGTCGCAGTTTTATCACTGGTATTCCAGATCTTCTGGAGCTTTATGTGCACAGGCGTTCCCTGCAGAATTATGCTCAATGCATAGATAGAACAGCCTTGGTCCCCTTCATGCTGCCAATGTGCGAAGGGTTCTTTACACATGCTTAATGCACCAATGCAGTTATTACTTCTTCTTATTGCAAATGAGAGTAACGATACCACTGTACGTGTGTGTGCAGATGCTTTTATAATACATCCCAAAGACAGCAGTATTTTACAACAAGAAGCCTGAAAAAGAACTTGTTTTAAAAGGCAGGTGTTGAACTTTCACATACAACTATGTTCTGAAAGCCACTTCAAATTTGCATTTTTGCCCACATAGGATAATAGTAATTTTTATTATTTCATTTTATTTTTTCAAGTTTATTGCTTTACCTCACTTCTTGGAAAGCTGATGCATATGTCCGTTTGCAAAACTATACGTAGGTCAGCACTCTGTGTACAATATATTACAGTAACAGCACTTCTTTGAGTTTGTGGCTTCTGTATCTCCCCAAATACAGTTAGAAATTATAATTAAAGAAGTGAAACTGTGGAGCTATGATTCATGTAGCGAATATTTAATTCACAGCCCACATTTAAGGAGTGACTGGCTTTCTTTATGAGTTAAGATTTGCTCTCCCACTCCTCAAGCACTTCAGGTATGTCTTTATTATTTTAAAGGTTGATTTTTTAAAATTAAATGAAATCCCAGTGCTACTAGTGCCAGCATTTAGGCTGCTCTAAGAGCCTGTGCTTCATCCTTTTGTTCTCTTTGTTTATGGCAGGGCTTTCCAACAGACACGGCCCTCAAAGTAGCTCAGAGTTTATGAACATTTCCTGTTTTAAGAAACAGACATAAAGGGGCAAAAGCAACTCCTCCTTCTCTGCTTGATCACTCATTAAGGAGGGGAAAGTCCCAGGAGCCCCTGAAAAAATGATTCTCATCAGGATAACTAAGGACAATCAAGAACTGCTATAAGGATCCATCCACAGAAATTGCTGAAAGCAGCGCCTCTAGAGGGTGCCCTTATCAAAGAGAAATGGGATCCTTCAGCAGCCCATGGGGACACCGGCTGTTTCTCCTTATGCAAGATAATGCAGAAAGAACACTTGTTCACCTCCTTCAGCAAAGCCAAGCTTACTTTCCTCCACAGTGCATTTGTGCCGGGAAGGATACTTGGCATTGTCCATTTTCAGGACATTAACTAGAACAAGCATCTGCTGTGACTCCAGCACTTCAATTCTAGGCGCCTTGTCAAGGCAAGGGCAGTCTACCCAAGAGCCTTCAGTATCACAGGAAGGGAAGCAAGAGTTCAGGTTCCTACCTCTCTAATAACAAGATAGCGACCTTTCTTGTTTGTTTTTAGCTGGGAGGCACAGAAAGGGATTTTCTGACGTCATAAGGGCTATCATGTCAAATGCTAGCAAGATTTTTTGAAATTAGAAAAGGTGACAAACAATGTATTTTGCCATGAGAGTTATTACTTATTTTGGTTCCTTGTTATAACATAAGTAGATTATATATGTATATATTTTAAAGATTCACTGGTCAGAAAAAAACAGAAATTGAAAACATCAGTCAGAATAAATTCATTTCTGAACTCTCTTGATATTATTGAAAGGCCACATGTAAAGCCTCAGCAAAGCTATAATTCTATGCATACTTGGGAGTCAGACCCACTGAACTCGCATAGTTTAACTCAGTGGTGTGGTGGTAAATTTTGCAGTGAAGGCACCTGTACTACCCAAGGAGAGTCCCAAAATGTAGAAGGCTGAGGTGATCCATATTATCAAAACAAGGCTTGCAGTTTTCCTCTTTGGCAGGAATAAGTTTTATGCAGCTGAGGGATGTTAGTTTCCCATGAAAGGCCAAGCCACCCTATGGTACTTTGCATTATAAGTAGCAATACATTGTTGCTGGAATAGCCGCTCCTCGTGCTACTCTGAGTGTTGCAGGGAAGAGGAAACCCTGAGAGGTGGTGGCGGCGGCAGATGACACCCTGCTAGTGAAAGGGCCGGATCCTTGCGCATCCTGGCTCTACTACACCACCAGACTTACTTCTGTGTAAAGTTTCACAGGGTTGCACAGTGTATTCAGGATTTTTAAAGAAACACTGGGGCCTTAGTAAAATTTAAAACACAGGCTGGATCACCTTAGATGTACACACTAGAATCCACAGCTCAGTGAAACAGAGGCACTGGTATTAAGACTAAATGTTAGCCCATGAATTTCAACAGAATGAAAATGAGCTTGAGATTGTGACCCCAAGCAGTAAATTCAATGGCCTGCTTTGCATGTAACAAGAAGCCACTTGTTTCCCCATGGGAATTCTCACGGTGGTGATCATGGTTTTGAATATTCAGGGTGAACCTAGCCTACAAGGATGGCTTGCTGTGGTGGCTAACAGCATGAAGAGCAGCAAAATAAAGGCTATTCTAATAGTACTGTCTACTATTTATCTTGCTTTTATCATTTCTGCTGTAGATCATTAGCAACTGGAAGCCCCATTATTACAATACTTGGGAACGGACAAAAGGAAAATAAAACTTCTGTGTGAATCCAATATCTCTCTGGCTCTCTATTATTAAATTTTCACATTTTGATAAAAGAGCATTGATATAGAATCTGATTTTTAAAAAACAACCAAATAGCATTATGGTGAATAAATTCTTCCAAATTTTACATATGCACAATTTTGAAAACATATTAGATCCACTGCATAGTTCAGTGAAATAGTTTACTAGATTTTAAATATAAATATATCATAATTAATATACTACCCAAAATATAAATACAGTATAACTAATATACCATTATGCATATTGTGTGTACTCAGTCTAGCTTATATAGCCCCTTCTAATTCTGGTGCGCCACTTTATACAGCTCTAGCCTGTAACTTTGTAGCCATCATTTTGGATTGTTCTTCTGAGGAACAGTTGAAAGACACATTAAACTTTATTAAAGTCAAGAAATTGTCAGCCTGATGATGACAGTAAGCCCTACAGAGTATTTATACATCCTGGAAAACAAGCTTCAACAAGGAACAGTCTCACTAAGTGACAGTGTATACTTCTGATGTGTTAAAGAGCCTTTACAGATGATTATTTTGGGGCACAGTAAATAAGTGTGCAGCTGGGACTTATTTGTTGATCAGGAGGATCCAGGCACTTCCCTCATGGATGCCCCTCCAGTGCCAAAGTGTCCTGACCCCAGGAAAAAGTGCTTTCTTGCTGCTGGAACAACTGTTCGCGGCAGAGTGCTATGCAGTGTGATGCGAAACATTCAGGGCCTGTGTAGAGGCAAGAGAGTCGGGCACCACGTCCTAGAAAGAACCTGTGGTGCCTCTTAGAGCAAGTATTTGCCTCTACTTGTAGGTAGATAGTAATGAGTTTTGGCTGCTATTGTACTCAATGCATTATTGTTGTAAGCTGCCCTGAAAATACTGCTGCTGAGTGAAAGACAAATGCTGAAACCACATAAATACATTTATTTATATAAATACAAGAAGAAGTGACTGGTAGCAAAAGTACTCCTGAATCAGTATTCCCATCACTTCATGAAACTTTTGCCTTCCTTTAAAAAACACAAGCCGTTCTGCATATTGGCTTGATTTAGTTCCTTGAATGTTTTATTTATGTATTTGGGAAACTTGTATGCCGCCCCAGTCGCATAAGCCTCGGGAATGTTGCATGTTTTACCTTCATAGAACAGACAGATACACATGAACCCTCATTTATGTAGGGTGTAATATCAGTATCCTCCCTGCCGAACATCTTACATCCTCATTCAGCTACGGGTTAATGCTAATTTTGAAATCCTAGCAGCTTCTAATCATCTGGAAAGGCCATGTGCTGAACGATGGACTCACTGTTTTCCCACTAGACTTGTGCAGCAAAGAATCTGCATGTTTAAATTTAGTTTGGAAGGAAGAAATTGTCCAGTCCTGTAACTGTGAGCTGCTACATATTTATTCCCATTTCAATTTACCTTGTTGACATCCATTCGTAATTTCTCATGGTTAGCACTGGCAGCTTTTTCTGCTGCTTTCTTCTGACGTTGTGGTCCCCTGCCAAAAAAGATGTAGTTGACCAATGCATATTCCAGAAGGGCCATGAACACGAAGACAAAGCATCCCATCAGATACATGTCAATGGCTTTCACATAGGGAATTTTGGGTAGTGTTTCTCGGAGATGGGTGTTGATGGTTGTCATTGTCAGCACCGTTGTGATCCCTAGAAAAAAGTATCAAACATTCAATTTCATAAAAAAACAATTTTATGTATATATTTTAAGTAAGGATCACTTTATGCCAGTGCTTAAAGGCCAGCAGTGTTTGGAGTTTAATAACGTATTTCTTGAGGATGGCCGAAAAGTGAGAGGTATTGACAATGCATTTTCTAAGCCTCTTTGCTTTTTTGAGTTAGGGCACTGTTGAGAAAACTTTGTTTTCTGAAACACATCAGTCCTTTAAAAAATTAGTGCTTCTGCCCACTGGTCAGTTTTTGCATCATTAGTAACATTTAAAGTTACTAATGATTACAGGGGCATTCAGGAATCTGTATTCAGTAAAATCCTTAACTCTCTCTTTATGGAAGTTTGAATTCTTGTATTCTGGTCTGAATTCTTAGAAAATTCTAAGAGATCATAAGAGCTAGATAGTAGATAACACCATCCATCTATTTTATCCTATTTAGAGCTGTGAAAACTTGACCGTGTATTTGTTTCATTAGATGGAATACAAGATGCAGGGCAAAAGCAAATATAAACTTATTTCAGAAGAATAGCTGCTTTTAATTTGTAGCAGCAAAACCACAAACACTGTTATAATTCCTTAACAACTGCCACCAGATTTAAAAGAGTATGTTAACAGTGTAGGCTTTGCTGGAATGACCGCAGTATAACCTGCTTCAGCCTCTGGCCTGCTCACATATCTTAAGGGTGAACCACAGAAAGAAGTAAGCTGAAAGCAAGTCCAGAAATCCAAGTAGGACAGGGGGCTCTGATCTGCCTTAGGATGTAAATAATAATGTGATTATAATTTACGGTATGCAAAATTCACAGTACTACATAGAAACACAATGACTGGTGAATGATTTGGTCAGGAATAGAAGAGTTTGATGCAGAAACTTGGGGGTTTTGGTCTGTGATCTAACTTAGACCATCTGCAGGGCAGGTATGGATGGACTGCATAATTTATTTTTAATTATTTATGTAAAGTTTTTATATGCCATCCATTACTAAAGTCTCTGGACGGCTTACAAAACAAAAAACAGAAAACAAAACAACCACTTACAACAAACCACACATAGTGCACTGCATCTAATCATTAATGATAAAATCAAAGATAAAACCTGACCTAATTAAATGTTAAAATATTGGAAAAATAAAAAGGTCTTCACCAGACACGGAAAAGAATAAAGCGATGGTACCAATCCGGTAAACCACCGAAAAGGCCCTTCTCCAGGTAGCTACCTTCCTAATTTCCTTCAAAGAGAGCTCCCGGAGAAGGACCTCTGGCTCAGATCTCAAGGGGTGGGCTGGCACATAGGGAAGAAGGCACTCCTTCAGGTATCCAGGACCCAAGCTTTATAGGTTATTACCAGCACCTTAAATTGGGCCTGGACTTCAATTGGCAGCCAGTATAGACGGTATAGGACTGGCATGATATGGAAGTATCTGCTGGTCCCCATTAATTATCCAGCAGCTTTATTCTGGACCAACTGAAGTATCCGGACAGCCTTCAAGGGCAGCCTCACTTAGAGTGTGTTGCAATAGTCCAAGCGGGAAGTTACCAGAGCATGGGTCACCGTTGCCAGGCACTGCTCATCCAGGTAAGGACGCAGCTGAAGTATCAGCCGAAGCTGAAGGAAAGCGCTCTCCACCACTGCCAACATCTGGTACTTCAGGGACAGATCAGGGTCGAGGAACACTCCCAGGCTGTGTACCCTGTCCTTTAGGGGGAGTGCAACGTTGTCCAGAACAGGGCAAAAATCACTCGCCTGGAAGGCTGAACCACCTACCAACAGGACCTCCATCTTGTCTGGATTTAGGCTCAATCTATTGGCCCCCATCCTGCCAAATACCCTGGCCAGACACTGATTAAGGACTGACACTGCTTCGCCTGGACTAAATGTAAAAGCGAGGTACAGCTGGTGTCATCACTGTACTGATTACTGTGCAGCCCAAACCTCTGGATGACCTTTCCCAGCGGTTTCATGTAGATGTTGAAAAGCATGGCGGACACAATGGAACCCTGCAGAACTCCACAGGAAAGCAGCCATGGCGCAGAGCCACAATCTCCCAGCACCACCTTCTGGAATCGGCCAGTCAGGTAAGAGTGGAAGCACCACAGAGCAGTGCCTCCAACTCCCAACCCAGCAGCCTATCCAGAAGGATACCATGGTTGATGGTATCGAAAGCTGCTGAAAGGATGGGAACACGGGCACACTCCCCCTGTCCTTCTCCCTCACAGGTCATCATACAGGGCGACCCTGTTCTATACCTGGGCCTGAAACCAGATTGAAATGGGTTTAGACGGTCAGTTTCCTCCAAGAATGCCTGGAGCTGTCCAACCACTACCCACTCAAGCACCTTGCCCAAGAATAGGATAGTAGCCACTGGCCTATAATTGGCAACTATTACTGGGTCCAGGGACACCCTCTTCAGGACCGGCCTGATCGCTGCCTCCTTCCAAAGGGCAGGGACCTGGCCTCCCTCAGAGAGGCACTGATGACCTCTTGGACCCAGGTACATATTCCGCTCTTGGCTCTGACAAGCAAAGGTAGAGCAGATAAGTAGTGGGACGGACTAGTCCAAGCACCTTGTTCACATCCTCAGGCCACAACTGATACCTACATACAAGCATCAAGTGCCCCACCACCCACTTTCCCCCTGTAGTTTAGCTGGGGAAACTGCATTACTAAGCAAGCTAAAGAGATGTATTCTAATGTTTACACTAAGTGGAAGGCAACCCATTTAAATAACCAGAGTTAATATACATTTACTTAAATATATTTATATAAATTTAGTTAAATAAAAATTAAAGTTAATATAAACTGCAGTTGCTGTTGTGTTTATTTATATAATGCCCAAATAACTGAAGTTCTCTGGGCAGTTAACAATGATCTATAATACAATATACAATTTACAATAGCATTCAAATAACATTTTAAAATGGAATATAGAAATGATTTAACTGATTAAACACATTTGGTACATTTGATAAACTAGACCACGGCAGACACGTGCCCTACGTTTGCTATTGAAAGCCTCAGCATAAAGGGCCATCTTAATCTGGTGCTGAAAGGATAGCAAAGTTGGCACCAGGTGGGCCTCAGCGGGGAGCTTGTATCACAACCATGGAGCTACCACGAAGAAGGATCTCTTCCTTGATGCTATAAACTAAGCCTTGCTTGGAGGGGCTCTTGGAGGAAGGTTTCAAATGTTAAGCATAGCGTCTGGGTATGTTTAGGTTAGGAGAAGAGCTCTGAGAGATACTGGAGTCCCAAGCCATTTGAGGTGTACAGGTCAAGACCAGCACCCTTGAACTAGACTCAGAAACATTTAGACAGCAAGAGAAGTGGACCAGAATCTGCATTGTATGTCTAGACCTTTTAGTTCCAGTTATTAAACTGACTGCTGCATTTTACACTAGTTGCAGCTTATCAGTTTTCAAGAGCAGCCTAAAGTAAAGTGTATGGCAGTTATCTAATCTGGAGATTACTAGAGCATAGATTATAGAAATTAGGCTAACCTTGTCCAGGTAGGGGCACAGCAGGGCCTCCATAGCTGTATAAGGCATTCTGAGATACTGAGGCCAAGTGATGAAGATAGCTCAAGGAAGACCTCCCAAGCTACGCACCTCTCCTCCAGGGGGAGTGCAATCTCATCCAGAATCCCTCAACCAGTTAGGAGAATCATTCATTAACGCCTCAGTCTTGTCTGGACTGAGCTTCAGTTTGTTAGCCCTCCCTCAGTCTACTGTCATAGCCAGGCAGCAGTTCAGCACATCTACAGCCTCATCTACTAGAGATGAGAAAGTGTAATGGAGCTACATGGCATCGGTCTACTGATGGTAGCACACGCCAGACTCCAGATGATCAAACACAGTGGCTTCATGTAGATGGTGAACAGCACCGAGACAAGATCAAGCCTGGAGAACTCTGAGCTGGTGAATCCATGCAGCCAAACAAATTTCTCAAGCACTGCCTTCCAGAGTGTATCATCCACGTAAGAGAGTAAGTGCTGCAAGGCGGTGCCCCCGCCCCCAATTCCAGCTCAGACAGCTGCCCTAGAAGGATGCCATGGCTGAAAGCTGCTGAGAGATCCAAGAGTTCCAAGCAGGGTCACAGTCCCCCATCTCTTTTCTGACATAGGTTATCATACAGGGCAACCAAAGCACTTTTGGTGCCAAAACTCAGCCCAAAGCCTGATTCAAATGCATATAATCAGTCCCATCCAAGAGCACTTGGAACTGGTTAGCTAGGACATGGTTTGGGAAGGGGATATTTGCCCCCAGCCAAAAATTATTGAAATTTTCTGTGTCCAGAGAGGGCTTCATCAGGATTGCCCTCACCCGTTTCCTTCAGAAGCTATGGGACTACTCTGTCCATGGGAATCATGGATCACTTCCCTGGTTCAGCTGGCTGTTCCCTCCCCACTGGTTTGATAAGCCAAGAGGGGCAAGGATCCAGAAGGTGTGTGCTTGGATGAACCTGTCCAGGCACTGTATCAGCATGTATCAAGCTGTATCAACAGAAACCCATCCAAAAAAACACCTTGACCACACAGTGCTCTGTGCATTTCACCTGATTCACTGGAGTGCTAAATCCAGACAGATGCGAGGGATTATTTTCCCCCCTGGAAGTGCTTAGCAAATATACTGCAGCAGGTGTCAGACAAGAAGTCTGATGGAGTTACCTATTTCAGTCTTGTAACTGATTAATTTAAGCTCAAGTACAATTACTTAAATGCTACAACATGAATGAAACTTTAATGAATCGTAGACAATAATGCTGAATCTCATCACAAAACTTCATATTTAGCTCAGCTGAACTGAAGCACTGCAGTGCAATTCCATGCATGCCTCTGCAGAAGTGAGACCCATGGCAAGCAGTGGGGCTGACTGCGCATTGGATTGCAGCATTCATAACTTGAAGTAATTTGAAAAGTATGTATTTAACTCTAGGTATTGCCTCTAAGCTGGTATAACAGAAGGCTTCCCACTGTTTGATGTAACCTTGCACAGTAGCAGTAGTAGTAGTAATAGAAAAATGTAAGGGGAGCAAAATGCCTACCTAAAGCCACTCTTGCAGCTGAGGCATCATAATTAATCCAGAAGGAAACCCAGGAAAGAATAGTGATCAGAATGGAGGGCATGTAAGTCTGCAGAATGAAGTAGCCAATGTTTCTCTTAAGTTTAAAACTGAGAGACAGCCTTGGGTAGGAACCTAGAACAAAAAGGAGACTTTGTCAAAGGCCATTATTGAATTCTGCAGTACTGCAAAGAAATTATATCCATTTACAATACAGAGACTTCGGTTTTGATTCAGTATACATGAGACAAAGATAAATGCAACTTCTCTTAACAAACAACAGACCAATGGAAAATACCAATTAATCCAATCTGTGTTGAAACAAAGAATTCAGTGGTAAATTGCCATTTAGTGAGATACTTTGTTCATAAATGCAGCAAAGCTATGCAGTGGCACAACTTCCAAGGTAATCATTTTTTCAAGTTCTTCTAGACTGCAGCCCTTCTGAAACCACCTGAAGTGCCACCGTGTGGAACTGGATCACACTCTGATGGGTACACAGTTCTGAGCACGGCAGGTAAGGAGAGTCATGTTTAAGCTGCACCAGCCACCTCACAGTTCGAGCACAGCAAGCCATCCTGTTGAGTACTGACAGCAAGACAGGGTTCCTTCATCATGATGTCACTGGCAATCACACCAGGGGGTGTGTGTTCAAGCAGAAAAAACCCCTGTGGAACCATATGAAAGGAAGAGGGGAGAAGACCAAGGTGGAGAAGAGGAAATGCAAAGGGATGAGAGACGGAAACACAGAAACTGGGTGATAATGCAAGTCACTTTGAGTTTGAGTCCCACTCAAACCTCTAATGCAAGGAGTACGGTTCTAATCATTGTATTTGTAAGGCGCTGGTCTCTGCTACCCAAGAAAAAGCCAGGACAGCTGCTCTGTGCAAATTTGCAGCACATGAACATAACAAATGCGACCAGACCTGACTGGCCCTCTGGAAGGCCACTTCCCTACTGTCAGTGACATGATGTAATCTTTTGTGTTGCTGAGGATTGCTTGTTGGTTGAACACAGAAATAGCCCCCTTGAACTAGGAGCAGAAGCCTGCGTAGCAGAAGGGAGGGCCATGCATGATCCCACAATGCGAGTGGGAAAATAAAGGTGAACACTCTTCTACTTAGCTTTGACTGTGGAATTACTGCAGAGGAGACCAAACAGCTGACCAGCCCAGGGCAATAGCGTGAGAGCTACAGCTAGCATTTTAAATGGGGCCAAGTCAGACAGATAGAATATTTACTATTTATGCCACACAATCCCATGCACGCTTGTCCAGAAGTTGGTCCCACTGTGATCAGTGGGGCTACTCTTGGGGATATGCACATGAGGTGCAGACATAGCACACTTTGTACTGCACAGTTATTGCCGCGTAGCATTAACCATGTAATATCCCAAAGAAAGCTTCTCAGTGAACAGAACCAAGCACTCTCTTTGTAGCATCCCTTCACAAACCTGTTGAGAAAACAACTTTCTTGGTGATAAGTTTGTAATCTACAATGGAGAATTGTGGCAGCTCAATCTTGGTCACGCCTGTAACTGCATTATCACCCCCACGCCAATAAAATTCAATATCATCTGTTGTGTAGCCATCTGGAAAACATAAAAAGGAACAAAGCTTTAGGACAGGATACACCTGCAGGATCTGACCAGCTGCAAAAACAATTCAGTAATTGTGCCTTAAGTAACAACGAATTCAACTCACAGAGTGCTTCTACTATGCATACCATGTACACTTCAGCTGGACTTGATTTAGTCTGGGGCAAAGCTGAAATGGAATCCATTCAGGCAGATGGATCAGAAATAGGTTGGTGAGAATAAGAAAAGCAAGCACTGGGGAGGTGGAAGTCTCTGCTCTGGAAGGTTGGTCCAGCTGCCCTGTCCAGTTGCAATTGATCTTCTGATGCTCCTTGAAGTAGTGTAGCCATTTACAGAAGTCATGACTCTGTTTGAAAGGATTCTGTTTCAAGAGCTGTCCAGTCCAAGGGTACTTGGATAAGAAGGTCCATTTACAGAATCTGACAGTGGCATAGATGTTCTTGTATTTGTAACCTTTCCAAGTTTTCCTGACATTTCTTCCATGCTTTCCCTCATGAGGAAAAAAAAACACCCCAAGAAAACATGGGATAGCTCCATGATGCCTTTGGATTGTTAGCACTAGAAGTTCTTCATCCGAAAGCACCTCCAGTAAGGAGTTATGAATCAACAGTTATCAGCTTGTGTGGGTGTATGTGCTGAACTGGTGCATATTGGCATGTGTAAATCTTATGTTCTCTTCCACTCTATTCCTTGGTGATGCATTCTTTCTTTTAGGTAGCGGTTAGGTGGCCACCCTACCTTGAAGATATTTATATTTTGCCAAGCATTTTGGCCTACCTTTTGTTTGATTTTCTTTTTCTATCTGGAAGATAGATTGTAATGCTGCTTTGTCTTTTGTTGTGCTTTAATTATTATATTGTTTTCTTTTTATTAAATGCATGAGATTAGTTTCATTTAATAGTCTAAGGAGTGAAAAGGTGAGCTCAATAAAAATAATGGTTTAATTGCCGGTCGATAGCCTGGATTGATAATCTAAGTTACTTTTTCACAGACTCAGTTTTTGGAGACTTACTTATTAGATGAATCAAGACGTGCCGTATAGTACATAGATGGAATATGCAATTCTATTTTAAGATGCTTATTTAATATTTATATTACATGTAATGCAATAATTTGTTGTCCTCACATATCCAGTCTGTGCAACCAATGCCACAGTCTGATGTCCATTGAGAAGGAAGAGAAATCCACTGCCATCTTTCCTTGACAAATGCAGGGCTGACTGGTTTTAACAAATCCCATTTAAGACAGTAGCTTAGAGCTGCCATTTTGCCCAAGTGACTGTACTTCACCCAGATTCTAGCCATACCATCCAGTGTCACTTTGCACCACTGGCTGGTTAGATCTGCACCATTCATTTACTAGGTAATACCAAGTCCTTGAAGAAATAGCAACAGGAGGCAAAGAGTTCAGGCACTGTATATGCCCAATCGTTTTGTGAAAAATGAGCCCACATCTGTCTTCCCGTGTTTTTTGCGAAGTCGCAGCTGTGACTGACATTTCGGAAATTTAGTGCTAGTCATAGGACAGAAGGTAAAATGACACACACAATGTTTTCTGATGAACCTTCCTGGTTTAAGAGTTTATGTATGTCTTTTCCCCTGTGGAGAAGTGATTGCTGCTGCCTAGAATTTTTGTGTAGTCTGGGCAGTAGTACATCCATCCATCCAAAAACAAAAACAAAAACAAAAACAAAAGACAACCGCAGAGGCAGAATGTTGTTTTCTTTCTAGCTCAGGCTCATTTTATACATGCATTTTGCTTATTTTCTAAATATTTAAAAAGTTACCCTTCTAATGCCAATAAATCAGCAAATTATCATTATTATACTCATACTGTAGGTGGGCTGTGACTGAAAGAGCATGAGTTACATCAGACCTGCAGAAAAGCACAATCTTGTTATACTCATGTTGTTAGGTTATCAGAGGTGGCAAAGCCCAGCTGGAATACAGTAGCCCCTTGTGCACTGCAGCCCAAGCCCCTGCAATGCTGGTTCTTTTGGACAGTGGGGCAGCAGATGCATTTGGAAAGGTAGGTGGCCCTGAAGTAGTAGCAACACTGCAACCAAGTTCAGCAACACTGGTTTGCATGTGTGGCCAACTGGGTGCAGAAGCGAGATTGTGATTGCAAAAAGAACCCGAAGAGGAACTGTTAGCCACCCCTTCTTCACCTTTGTTGTAGCAATAAGCTTCACAGCACATCCTACATTCCTGTGTTCCCAAATCCAACCCCCACCCCCAAAACAACTCCCAAATGTGTAGTTTCAGCATTAAGCAATGCAACGTTGCAGGAAAAGTTATTAGTACTTCGTATAATACTATACTAGTATTATAATTCTCCACAATGTAAGATGTACACAAAAAAGCCAAACAAAGCCCTGGTATGCAAGCGTGCATGTGTGCGGGCACACACATCCTAGGTCATAGAAAAAAATAATTAAAATGCATTTTAATGAATTTCTCACTCTTAGATTTCCTCTCAGGTAGGGTCCTATTGCATATGTACTGGGGCAAGGGCTCATTTGAGTGTGTACTTAATACACACACACATGCAGGCACTTTTCCTTTCTGAACAACAAAAGCTTGGAATTGTGAATGGAAATGACACAAGCTGCTCCCATCCTTGCTTCAGCGAAACCACTGATCATTCTCTCTCTTGCCTGGACTACTCTTCTGTTCTTTGGTCCTCCATTACCTCACACTTCCCCCCTCATGCCTCTCTCCTCTAGTCCATCATTCATCTCTCTTTGCTTTGATCTTGTGACTCCTTGCATTTCTTCACTGCCTGCTCCTGCAAACTGCAGACTCATTACCTTTCTCTTCAGAGCCCTTGTGACGTTGCCTCCCTCCACCCCCATCTTTCTCCTTCTGCTCTTATATCCCAATAAAACTCACCCTGCTGCCTTTGAACCTTGAACTCCACCCTCTTCACCATTCAAAGCTATTCCAGACCCTTCAAAGACCCCAGACATTCTTCCTTGCTTTCTCAGATGCTTGGAACAATTCCCAAAACGCCTGTGTCTCTTAATTCAAATTACACCACAAAGCTCATATTTCCCATGAAGCCTTTAGCAGAATCACCTAGTGCTACCGTCAACCAGCCAGTGACTAAGAAAAAATATGCCTTCCTGTACTGCAGCCTCCACTTCCAACCTCGTTCCCTTGAAACATCCCATTCTTTCTAAACACATTTAAACTGCTACACACATGCATGCGCGCACGCGTGCACACAGACACTTTCATACAAAATAAATAACTGGCAAATGTGCCACAGGTAAAAAAGTTGGGCAGGTGATCCCTTCTCCCCACCCCGATGCATCAGCACTCCTGTGCTTGTCAGTTGTGATGTAAACACTCAGAGCTAAAACTATTTTGCTTCAAATATTCTTTTTCCATCTAAGTGCTTAAGAGGGATGCCAGGGAGCAAACATGGAGAGTCAGAAAGATTTATGACAGGTCTATTGGGCTGGGCATGAGGCATTTGCTCTTGTTTCTCTGATAACATGGAGCTATACAAGAATATCAACTATTCAACAAGAATATCAACAGGCAGACACCAATCCCTCCTATCTGATTCATGAATTTTGTACTGTGCAGACCCAGTGGAGTGCTGTTTAGCTACAAATATAGAATTTAAATTGTTTTCACTCAAAAGTAGTTTATGTTCTCACACAATTCAGCAAACTCCCTTAGAAGATAATCATCGGCATATTGATTTCTCAGTACAAGACACTGCTCTTCAGATCTACATTAAGCAAGTAAACAAAGTGACTAAAAACAGAACCTCCTCTTTGCTTTCAGTATGAATAGCTATTTAGCAGCTGTTCTGAGCCATGTAATGGCTTTTAATTCTTCCCTCGTTGCCACTACTGGCTTAGTTCAATACTGAAGCCTGAGAAGGTTCCATACTTCATCGATTTATGTTTCCTCTCTCTTGAACAGCTGTTATCCTCTCTTGAAACATTTTTATTTCCCTACATACTGATTATTTCACAAATAGTTTTTTGAAAACATGAAATACTGAGTTTCAATCAGGGGGACACATGACAGCATCCTTGAACTTTGTTTCCACTTTATATGTCCTTGTTGTCTTTAGCGTTAACTCTTTGCTTTTGCCAGCAAAAAATGGTCACCAAACACATTTTCCCTACTGAAGTAATCATATGATTATTTCTTAAGTGAGCTAGAAGCACTGCCAATCCTTTTATTTAGTTCCTATCAAAGGTTAGTATAGTTAGCATTTTTTCCTTTTTTAAATCTTCTTACGTTTGACACAATTACATGAACATTTTGACTGTGGAGAGCCTTAAGTCTGCAAATCCTATGTACGTTTAAACAGAAGCTAAATACACTGACATTAATATAACTTGCCCTAATCTGAAGAAATTTCTGAATGAATTTTTAAAATGGACTAGGAAATTCAAACTTCAATGTTCTTTTCTGTGCCATACATGCACTCTGTCATCACCATTTTCTCAATGCACCAATTGCTTGCTGTCTATTCAGCACTGGAAAAACAACAACAACACAGAGGTCTGCACATGCAAGATCACCTGATATACCATCCCCAGAATTTCCATCTGAACAAATTCAGTGAATGAATCATTCATTTCTTAAGGATTAACTGGGTCATTATATTTAATCCTTCCTTAAACTGGTGGACATGTGTTCTTCTTGAATGTAACATTTCCATTGGATTTGTGTCATGCTCTGTTTACTTGCTTCTGAAAGGACTGAATAATCTAATGTGGTAGAAAATCAACACTGTTGTGTTTGAAGATCAATATCCTGAGATATGCATACTTCAGATATACCAATATAAGCTGATTCTGTGTAGTTCCTAAGAATGAGACAGGCGCCATCACTGAGAGCAATAATGCAGTGGCATCATCCTACAGATTTTATGTAAGTAACTCCCATTTCTAGCGCAACCCATCTGTAAGAAGGAACTTGCTAGTCCAACATCAGACAAATCCCAGTCACTTTGTATGATTTGTG